GTAAATATATCAAAACTTAATTTTTGATTAGTAATATGCATTGCTAAGAACTTCATTTGGACAACTTTAAAGATGATTTTCTCAATATTTAGATTTTTTTGCACCCTCAGATTCCAGATTTTCAGATAGTTGTATCTCAGACAAATATTGTCCTATCCTAACAAACCATACATCAATGGAAAGCTTATTTATAATCAGCTTTCAGATGATGCATAAATCTCAATTTCGAAAAATTGACCCTTATGACTGGTTTTGTGGTCCAGGGTGCACGTTTATGAAAATTTGTCTGCAAAATAGACAGTTTAATGAAACATCTCAGGTAGAAGTTAAACTCGAAGGCATCTGTGAATTAATACTGATTACAGTAATGCATTTACAATGCAAGTCAAGAGTCCTGATATTAATATGTCACAGTTTCCACAAAACTTTGAAGCAGCACAACTGTTTTCAACATTGATAATAATCAGAAATGTTTCTTAATCAGTATATTAGACTGATTTCTGAAGATCATGTGACAATGAAGACTGGAGTAATGATGCTAAAAATTCAGCTTTGATCACAGAAATAAATTACATTTTAACATATATTCAAAGAGAAAACAGTTACTTTAAATTGTAATAATATTTCAAAATAGTAGGTCATTTTGATCAAATAAATGCAGCCTTCTGCGTACCATAAATTGAAGAACACTGGTGTCTAAAACAACTTTGGACCCCACTGATTTTCACTGTATGGATACAGAAGTTTGGAAAGACATGAGGATGAGTAAATGATGACAAACTGCTTGTTTTTGAGGTGAACTGTCTCTTTTAACATGTACTGAACCAGTAACATTGCACTAAAGTGCTCATCCTCAGTTTCCATGGTGAGAACAGAAAAGTGGAAAGGAAAATGTCACCTTAACCAGATAGCGCGTGATGTCTCGTCCTGCGATGTCTAAGCGGCGCGTGAGGTGAGGCAGAGAGAAGCCCTCGTAAACGGGACAGATGTGAGTCACACCGTCTCCTGAGTCGACCACCACACATATTCTTAAACCCAAATAGGAAATAAAACAGTTAAGCATATTTTGTGTCCTAAACTCCTGAAACATTGGTGTCTCATATTTTAAAGCAGTCAATGCAATTTGGGAAAGAAATCAATCATATCTGCATGTGTGTGAAAATATTCAGATGTAACCGACTTTTTAATTATTAACAATTTCATAAATAACTGTAATTGAATTACACATTTTTTTCTCAGTAAATGTGACAAATGTAACAGTTACATTTATTTTGTAATTTAACTATGTAACGCTGTTACATGTAACTAGTCACTCCCCAACACTGGACATATTGCATATTTGACTGAAATGTTTATATTGATATATTTTAGGCTACCCATTTTATATCTACCAAATGCTAGGTGACAAGTTTTGTGAGGGAGGGTACCATCCAGCCTTTGGGCTTCTTCGAAAACAGACTGATTTTTCAAATCCCGCCTTTTAAATAAAACAGACAATCGCCGATTGATAAAGTTATCGTGTTTTAGGACTGCACATGCGCAATGGCTGGATCAACCCGCAGATTTTTTTAACGCTAATTGAGCTTAAAGGGATAGTTCACCCAAAAATTTGAATTCTGTCATCAATTACTCACCCTCATGCCGAACACAAATTAAGATATTTCTGATGAAATCCGAGAGCTCTCTGACCCTCCATGAAGGGTACTACCACGATCAAGGCCCAGAAACGTAGTAAGGACATCGTTAAAATAGTCCATGTGACATCAGGAGTTAAGCCATAATTTTACGAAGCTATGACAATACTTTTTGTGTGCAAAGAAAACTAAAATAACAACTTTATTCAACAATACTTCTTCTCCTAGGACGCTGTCTTGGAGAGTCACGACGCATGCGCGAGCTGTAAACAAGGCGCAGCGCGTGCGTGTTCAACGTCAGCTGCATCACGCGCATTCATTGTTTACATGCAGGAAAATCATGCGCATGCATCATGATAATACCCTCCAAAATGGCACTCTAGGGTGACGCGGAGGAGAAGAATAGTTGAATAAAGTTATTTTAGTTTTCTTTGCACATAAAAAGTATTCTCGTAGCTTAATAAAATTACGGTTGAACCCCTGATGTCACATGGACTATTTTAACGATGTCCTTTCTGGGCCTTGATCGTGGTAGTAGCCTACCCTTGCTGCCTATGCAGGGTCAGAAAGCTCTCGGATTTCATCTAAAATATTTGTGTTCCGAAGATGAACGAAGGTCTTACGGGTTTGGAACGACATGAGGGTGAGTAATTAATGACCAAATTTTCATTTTTGGGTGAACTATCCCTTTAAGAAACGATATTTATGGGAAAGTTCATGTCAGATTATTTGCTAATTTCAAATATGTTATTTAAACGTTTAAATAACAAAACTTTCATAACATTTAAATTTACCGTTTATGTTGAGACAATGAAATATCCAACTCAACTACTAAACCTATTTTTTAATTTTCCGCTTACTTTTTTTAAAGATGAAACCGTAAGGCATCATTACGTATTCTAATGATGAATTGTAAGTTGTGATAACTAATCAAAGCAATTTTTTCAGTGTTTTGATATTAGGGTGATTGGGTTAGTTTGGCCTATTTTTGATTACCCATTGACCTAGTTTTGTTTTGCAGACCTGGCAACCCTTTTTCATCGTTCAGCTCATTTCAGAGGTTCACCGGTCTGTTTTACCCTGAGCGTAGAGAGTCAGCACGGCCTGAATGGCGATGTAGATGCCGTGGAACTTGTAGGTCTCAAACATGACCTCGGCGATCTTCTGCCGGTTCTTCAGCGGGTTCAGGGGCGGCTCCGTCAGCAGGACCTTACAGTCGGGAGGGTTGATGTTGAGCCGCTGCGGGCCGAACGTGTGATCCCACAGGTGCAGCATGTCCTCCCAGCAGCGGACTATCCCGTTCTCCATGGGGTACGAGACCTCCAGCATGGAGCGGCATTCGCTCGCCTCTTCACCAACCATCAGATCCTGAAGAGAGGTGAACAGTGTTGACTTCAGTATTGAACGAGTAAAAAATTTAAAAATTATTAAAGCATTGAGGGTGTTGAATTTTTAATTATAACACAGATCGTTCCAGTCCTTGATTCTGATTGGCTGAGCCCGTTCGAAGCTGTTGTAAATTACTCTACAAACACACACCTTTGTTTACTTCTGTGTGTTGCTCAGCAACCACTTTGTTAGAACCACAACTGATTCTGAGGAACTACATTGATTGGTGGATTTTATTTTGTGAAACCGTACTACGTATATGGAATAACCGTTTTATAAAAGCAATAAGCCCCGTGAAGCCGTGGTTTACAGTGAATTTTATAACAGCTTGCCTAACAACGCCCCTTAGCTGTTATAAATTCACTGTAAACCATGGCTTCTTGGGGCTTATTGCTATATTATCCTTATTTACTTTAATAAAAAAAGTATTTTTATTCAATTCATTTAAAAATGCATCGGTGTATTCAATTAATTATATACTCTTGCCAATTTAAAGATGGAGTATAGTTTCTGCAGCAAAAATAATGAATCTCGCGCAACTCTAATAATCTGCTGTTTAATGTCAATGGTCTTGAAATTTTTTAAAAGAAATTTGTTTTGTTATATATCTGAAAAATATAAACCTATATTAGAATATTACAGTGTATATGTTGTTTATATTACATTTCTGTGATTATTGAAATGTTTGAATCAGTCTTGAAATGTATGAGAGGACAAGGGATATGTTATAGAATTAAATAATATGGTATAAGGCACTTAAATGTACAATAGAAGATATATTAAAATGAGGAATAGAATTATTCTAAATAATTATAAATCTACAAATGAGAGATGTTTTATTGCTATCTTGTTAAATGACAATGTGTATTAGTGTAATTTATTTATACTACATTAGTATGATATATTTATTAATATTTTGAATTATTTTATATTTTAATATTTTCAGGTTGTATTTTAGTTTTGTCATTTTTATTGTTTGTTTGTTTTAAGCAGTTCTATATTTTCTAACTTTATTTTCTTTTTATTAGTTTTAACAGTTTTATTTCAATGTAATTGTAGTGTTTTAAATGTATTTACTTCACTACGTGGTATTACAACATTTTAAAATTTCATTCATTTTTTCATATAATATTTTTTAGATTTTTATTTCAGCTTTATTTTTTTATTTTTTTTGGCTGGATAACTCACCTTAATCGCTATATTCCCAACTTTTGTGTCTGACCGAATGATGGGACGTTTAAAAGTTTAGTTAAGAATGTCAGAAGCTTTTAAAACGGCAATATATTTAGTTCCATGTACGTTTCTGAATTAAAACAAGTTTCCTTCAACATTCATTTCAACACAAATAGTGCTGATGTTCAGTCCTGTGCATCAGTATCCAGTATTTAAATCAGTGATATTCAGTAGCAGCAGATATAGAGTTTTAGCCCCATTATAATGACTTGTGTATCTCTTACCCCCGTCCCATTGTCACAGACGACCACTTTCCTCCCGCCGCTGTCCATGCTGTTTCAGATGAGCTGCAGGGACTGTCCGTGCATTCGGTGAGGATGCAGACGCTCGTCAGTCTCAGTCTGGCTGTTTTGTGAAGTGAGGTCAGATTTAAAGGGGCCGGTTTACCTGAGGATTATTTTTTCTTATCTTGCACAGTTACGCTATAGACATGTAATTTAATGGAAAAGTAATGCACAAATCTTTGAGTAAAACCTGTTAATTACTGAACTGCTAATTATCTTATCACACAGTAAATATGTGACCCTGGAGCACAAAAGCAGTCTTAAGTCGCTGGGGTACTGGTTTTGTGCTCCAGGGTCACATATATTATACTTTCAAAAATATGTAAATAAGAAATCTATCATTTAAATTACTGTAAAATATTGTGAAAAATGATACATTAAGAAAGCAGTATGTATACAGTAATTAAAATCCCAAAGGAAAAGCCTTTTATCTTGCAGAGTTGAACTCTATGTAATTTAATGGAAAAATATTGCAGAAATCTTATAGTAAAACCTGTTAATTGCTGAACTGTAAGTCGCCTTGTCATACAATAAAATGTTGTATTTTAAAAGATAATACATGTCATTTAAAATGACCGTATAATTGAGAAAACGTTTAGTCTATTTAACAAATCAACTTTTACAGTAAAACAGTCAAATAAAAAATTTAATCCCAAAAGAAACACCTTTTATCTTGCAGAGTTACAATCTAAATATGTGTAATTTAATGGGGAAAAAATTCAAAAAGTTTTATAGTACTGTTAATTGTTGAACTTATCATACAGGAAATGTATTTTATTTGTATTTGAATTATTATGCATTATATTTTAGAAGACAATAGATATTTAAATGACTAAAATATTACCTTATAATTGAGAAAATGTATAGCAAAATAGCAATATACATACTTATACAGTAAAATATTAAACTGCTTTGTATGAAAAATGGCTATGATTTTGCTTATAATTTACAGGTGAACATATGCTATATTTAGCAATGCAATACATATACTTTTAGAATAAAATATGGTTATTTTTATACAAGTGTGGATCAGAAGATCCGAATTTCTTCTTTTGTGTTTTACAGAATTAAATTATGCTAATATTTTAACTTATTCCTTCAAATGGTTTTGTAAAGCTGTATTATTTGAACGGGTCATTTAGTTGATGGTTACAAGCTACTTGTACACTTGTTACAAGCTGTGAACAGCCTTTGTTTTGCCAGCTGTTTAGCATCTACAATTCAAACTTTGAGTCTCTTCAAAAATAATTTCATTTATTTCAAAACTGCAAACAACAGATGAACAACAAATGAAAACAAGACAGTCGCGTTCTTCATTTGACTTCGGTGAGTATGTGTCTGAAAATGATAAATGACAGACGATCGTACAGTTTGATGTCGTAGGCACATAAAAAGCTGAGTGACGCTGTTCACTGAAATGAAATGGAAAGTATGTTGATGTATCCTAAATTCACAGCGAGGTCAGCAGCATTAATATTCCATAACATGTGAGTTAATCTATGTTCATCATGATTATATTCCTGTGTAAAACAGTTCAATGGACCTAAATCCTCATTTAACAACAAAATGCACAAGCAACTGACACAACCTACACGATATTCTTATGAAAACATACAGCAGCAAGTTACTTCTACCTTCAAGATCAAACCATTTCATGTTTGTAGTGCTATGAAAGGCCTGGCTGGACCATCTACACTAGACTTTGAATACAAAATATGCATAATATATGTCCTTCTGAGCGATATGTCTCATATTTTGTGCCACCTGAGTATTACAATGATTGAAAAAGCCAATGAACCTGAAGAGATTGATTTGGCACGTGCCTATTAAGAGGTCCAGTCTTAAAATTGTAGCTCCTCTTTGGTCAGGGACGGACCAAACACGAAAAAAGGGAGTAACTTTGTCCTTTTTAGTCAGATTTCCTAACAGCAAATCGAGCTGATTCCTCAGTCTTTCCTTTAAGTGCATGTCTAAGCAGCAGTCCTCTGCCCTCCAGACGCTTCAAAGCCTCATGTGTTTCCAGTGCAGGCGTTCTTCACGACTCAAAGTCGCTGTCGCTGCTGACGGATATGTCCGGCGTGGAGGCCCCGGTCCCCCGCGGCCCCGTGCCCGAGCTGCAGTCGCTGTTCTCCCCTGGGCTCCCGGGACGATGCGGTGAGGAGCCCTGGAGGTGCGTGTTGTGCTCCGAGGAGCATTCTGGAGAGCTTCCGGAGGGAAGGAGGGAGGAATCTTGCTGCAGCCTGGGGAAAAAAAAGAGAGCGGTAGATGGATATTTACTCTTGAGATGCAAATCAACATAGACACATTTGAAGCTCCTACACTCTTAAAGGGATAGTTCACCCAAAAACTAAAATTCTGTCATTAATTACTCCCCCTCATGTCGTTCCAAACCCGTAAGACCTCCGTTCATCTTCGGAACACAAATTAAGATATTTTTGATGAAATCCGAGAGCTCTTTGATCCTCCATAGACAGCAAGGATCCTTACACGATCAAGGCCCAGAAACGTAGCAAGGACATCGGTAAAATAATCCATGTGACATCAGCTACGAGAATACTTTTTGTGCGCAAAGAAAACAAAAATAACGACTTTATTCAACAATTCGTCTCCTCTGCGTCACCCTATAGCGCCATTTTGGAGAGTATCACATACGTAAACAACGTATGCAATGTATGTACGCGGATACGCTGTTTACGTTGTTTCCACTTTGATCTGAACGTAAACAGCATATCCGCGTACATACGTTGTTTACGTATGTGATACTCTCCAAAATGGCACCAGGGTGACGCAGAGGAGACGAATTGTTGAATAAAGTCGTTATTTTTGTTTTCTTTGCATACAAAAAGTATTCTCGTAGCTTCGTAAAATTACGGTTGAACCACTGATTACATGGATTATTTTAACGATCTCCTTGCTACGTTTCTGGTCCTTGATCGTGGTAGTACCCTAGCTGTCTATGGGAGGGTCAGAAAGCTCTCGAATTTCATCAAAAATATCTTAATTTATGTTCCGAAGATGAACGAAGGTCTTACGGGTTTGAAACGACATGAGGGTGAGTAATTAATGACAGCATTTTTTGGGTGAACTATCCCTTTAAATATAAAGGTTCCAAAAGGAGGTTTCTCACAGTGATGCCATAGAAGAACCATTGTTGGTTTCCCAAAGAGCCCTTCAGCGAACATTTCTTAAAAATAACCTATTTTTTTCTTTATGTGAAGAACATTTTAAAAATCTAAAAAAAAAAAAAACATTTTTCCACTATAAAGAACCTTTTGTAGAATGGAATAGTTCCATGGCTCTTCATGGAACCATTGATGCCAAAAAATAACCTTTACAGGGGTCATATGATGCTCATTTTCCACAAGTTGATATGATTCTTTAGGGTCTTAATGAAAAGTCTGTAACATAGTTTGGTTAAAATTTCTCAATGGTAGTGTAAAAAACACCTTTTTTACCCTGTCAAAAACAGCTCTTTTCAGATCAAGCCTTATTGTAGCATTTTCCTTTAAAGGGGTCATATGATGCGATTTCAATTTTTCCTTTCTCTTTGGAGTGTTACAAGCTCTTGGTGCATAAAGAAGATCTGTAAAGTTGCAAAGACTAAAGTCTCAAATCCAAAGAGATATTCTTTATAAAAGTTAAGAGTCAGCCACGCCTACCTAAAACGGCTCGTTCTAACACACCCCACATGTCTACGTCACGATGTGAGAAGATTTGCATAACGCCGCCCAAACGTTCACGCAAAGAAAGAAGGCGTAACTTAAAAATATTTGGCTGCACAACTGTTGATAATTCTAATAATAAATCAGCATATTAGACGACTGCTATGTTTATTATTACATCCAACAACAGAACACGTCAATCGCTTAGGAGTCATTCTTGTCTTCATCTGCTCCGGCGGTGAAACAATGGCGGACTGATTACAGCTCACTTAGGGGCGGAGCTAAGGTAAGACACCAGTCCAGTCTGTGCTGAAACGCTACTGTCAATCAAACTATCGTGGGAGGGGCCTGTCTGTGTGACGTCACACAGACAGGCATCTGAGATCGGCTCGATTTGAGAAAGGGGTAAAGATTTAACCAGATTAAAAAAAAAACACTGGGTGGATTTTTATCATTATAGGGTGGTTGTGTACAAACACTGCCAACACACATTTCAGTTCAAACAACTTGTAAAAGTGCATGTAGCATCCTATGACCCCTTTAAGGGAAAAAAGAGCATAAGGGAAGTCCATATAACTTGTGCACTGTATTAAACCTTCTGAAGCTATACAATATTTGGTGTCAGAAACGCACCCAAATTTAACTATATGCGAATATATCATATGCATACTTTTATAGTGCTTTTGACCTAATATTAATTAATGGATCTGAGCAAACATGAATTAACAAAGAAACACTTTTATGAATTAACATGAACAAAGATTAAATAATATATTGCAACAAATGCATTGCTCACTGTTAGTTAATATTAGTTAATGCATTAATTAACATTAAATATTGAATATGATTGTAAATTGTTACCATTATTTTTATATGAGCAGTTCATATTACTGTAAGCTTTATTTAATACCATGCAATGACCTGTGCATTTACGTTGGTAGTATTTTTAGTATATTTAATACATTATTATAGTATTTATTAAAAGTTTGAATTAGCTTTTATTTATGTATGCATATATCTTTTATATTTACTTAGGTTTTAGTATTTTATAATGTGCTTTTGTCATTTTTATTGGATTTGGGTTTTTTATATTTCTAATATAGCCTTAATTTCAGTTGTAGATATAATGTAATTTTTTGTACATTAATTGCAGTTAGTTGTTGAGGCAACATTTCTCATTTATGTATGTTTTTTATATTTCTACTTAATATTCATATTTCACTTTATTTAAGCTATATTTCGAATAATGAAAATTATTTGAATAGTTTTGGCTAACATTAACAACAACAAATGAGCAATGAAATACAAGTTGGCAAATACAAGTTTCAAGACAAATCTCAATTAATCATGTTGTCTTGTTTTTTGTTTCTCAGCCATTCATTTTTACAGTGCAGCTGTAATAGACGATGTTTGTTTGTGTACCTGTTTTTAGCAGACGCCGCTCTGTCCCGCTGTCTTCTGTTTTTGAACCAGTTGCCCACCTGAGTGGGTGTGAGTCCTGTGGCCTGAGCCAGATGACGCTTTCTGGAGGGGTTTGGATAGGGATCCTGCAGGTACCATTCCCTCAGGAGGCTACGGGTTCGCTCCTGAAAACACAAAACCAAGTCCAAAAGATGACAGTGACTTCAAAGTTACAGCATCATTCAAGAATTTGGAATTGGTAAGATTTTTTATATTTTTAAAGAAGTCTTTTCTGCTCACCAAGGCTGCATTTATTTGATCAGATATACAGTAAAACAGTGAAATATTATTACAATTTAAAATAACTGTTTTCTATTTGAATATATTTTAGAATGTAATTTATTTCTGTGATGCAAAGCTGTATTTTCAGCATCATTACTCCAGTCTTCAGTGTCACATGATCTTCAGAAATCAGTCTAATATGCTGATTTGCTGCTCGAGAAAGTATTATTATCAATGTTGAAAATGGTTGTGCTGCTTCATTTTTTTGTAGAAACTGTGATACTTTTGGGGGGAATTGAATAAAAAGTTCAAAAGAACAGAATTGATTTAAAATAGAAATCTTTTTAAAACATTATAAAAGTCTTTACTATCACTTTTGATCAATTTAATGCATAAAAGTGTTTTTTTGTTGTTGTTTTTTTTAACTTACCGACTCCAAACATTTAAATGCTAGAGTAGACTGAATCACACATTCATCCTTTTTTTTTTTTTTTTTTTACACATTTTTTAATTTTCCAAGAATGTTTTTCATTTATTTGCATAAATCATCAGATTTTTGTGCACATTTTCAGAAATGACCTGTAATAACCTATTTGTGACCCTGGACCACAAAACCACTCATAAGGGTAAATTTTTCGAAAATGGGTTGTATACATCATCTGAAAGCTGAATAAATAAGCTTTCCATTGATGTATGTTATGAAAGGACAATATTTGGCCGAGATACAACTATTTGAAAATCTGGAATCTGAGGGTGCAAAAAAATCTAAATATTGAGAAAATCATCTTTAAAGTTGTTCAAATGAAGTTCTTAGCAATGCATATTACTAATCAAAAATTAAGTTTTGATATATTTACGGTAGGAAATTTACTAAATATCTTCATGGAACATGATCTTTACTTAATATCCTAATGATTTTTGGCATAAAAGAAAAATTTATAATTTTGACCCATACAATGTATTGTTAGCTATTGCTACAAATATACCCCAGCGACTTAAGACTGCTTTTGTGCTCCAGGGTCACATATGGTGAAGCTTAGTGTCTTTTAAAAAGCTTGAGATGGATAACAGCATTATATCTCATTATATAAGCACATTTAAAATAATCAGTCTGCAGGGTAGGATGTATTTATAGATCACTATAACCTGGAGAAACAAGAGGATCAGTCTCATTACACTGGCAAAAAAAATACAAATGCGAGTAACATCTAAATTAACCAGAGTTATTCAAGTCAAAAATCAACTTTCCTTCATATGCACTGTTTATAGTGTTGATTTGTTGCACTCAGCTTCACAGTATACACTCGTAGTCGTGCAATAGTCGATATTTCATCACGATGTCCTTGGAAATCCAAGCTAAGAAGGGCAGAAGTTGTTATTAGGCTTAAAGCACTGTTCTGGGATCAGGCATTCTGAAGTCAATCCCGGTTTGTGTGTTAAGGCGCTAGTGATCATATACCGTCTGCTGCAGTGATTACGCTCCATTTCCACCTTTGTGAAGTGAACCGGCACGCAGACCACTTAATAATCCACTTTCCGTTTCAATTCACATTGGGCCGGTCTGCAAAAACAATCGCGGACTCGGGGAATCGTTATGAGGGCTTTGCAAAGCAGTTTAGCTGTGAGTTAATCTGGCCACTCGCGTCTGGAGCAGGGTGAAAAGGTAGAAAGTCATCATGGGGAATGAGAGCTTAAATGCCACAGGTGGTCCCCGGCTCAAGAGGCTTAAGAAGCGCCGGGAGAGTCTCTGCCTGCAGGAGCTCGGCATGCTGTCGTAGCTGCTGACGAATAATGCCGTGTTTGCATTGTGCTGTGGAGAATGAAGCGCAATTAAGCCCTCATTTGTTTGCACTGCGACTGTTTAAATACACTTTAAAAGTGAAAATGTAGAGCTGTTTCTGCTTAGTCTGGCCCTCGAAATTACTTTGTTTGTCACATTCGATTATATTTTTGCCTGGAATTGAGCCAGGAAAAGTAGGTTTTACAACAAGAAGCACTTTTGTTTTTAGATGACGAAACATTTTAGTGCACAAACAACATTTAGACTTTGTTAGACTTTAAGTTGCACTGTAAAAGGTTGTTTTTCAAAGTTGTAAATAAAGATTATTGTTGCACGTTTTACAAAAAAATATTTGTAATATTAAGTCTTTTTACTTAAAAATGTCATGTTTATTCAATGTTACTTTCCGTTTCTTTGCAATTATTTGTGAAACTGACTAATTTCTGACTGAAAATTATTACATCATTTTTTTTCAGTATATATATATATATGTGTGTGTGTGTGTGTGAGTGAGTGAGTGAGTGAGTGAGTG